TACAATATTATTTCTTCATTTATATCATTTCTTCCAAGGCTTTTCTTGGTCCAGATGTATGCCCTACCATTGTATTTGTGCATGTAATACTATGATGTTATAATCACGTATTATTGGTGTTAGAAAAGAAGTTTCAGTGAAGCTTTCAAATATAGCAGTTTCTAAAGCCCTTTGATGGAAAGAATACAACAAAAATCAAGTTATTGGTGCTAGTGAGAAAAGAAAATGATGGTTTGAATTTGACTCACTACAATTTGTTTTGTGATAAAGCTGCATCAAGTTAATCGCATTGAGAAGCCAAATTATGTCCCTCAGTATCTGCAGCTGTTAAATACAATTGTCTATAGCTTTATTTTATAGCCAGAAAATTGGAAGAAACATGTCAAAATATGAATCCAGTTGACTGGAATTAGCTTGCATCCAGTGTTCAAATGGTCACTAACAGACAATTAGACACATCTGCTTCTGATGCTTTCTTAAAGGTCATTAGAGAATACTGTAAAATAGACTGCTCAAGTCTCAGATGTAGCTGCAAAAACCATGGCTTTTGTGTTTCCCAACCTGTGGAGAATGCCCATGTGTTAGCTGTTGAAATTCAATCCAGCCTGAATGTATTAATAGTGAAGATGAATAAATGAAGACATAAAGCATGTCATAAAACTGTTATTAAAATTAAAATGAGGTTGTTTCCAATGCCTTGAAATAAAGCAATAATCAGTTTTTTTGTAATAAATATTCATACACATACTTCAATACTACAGTTTGTAGCTTAAGTTTAGTTCTGCAACAGTGCAAGACAAATATCATTTGTTGCTTCATATTTCACTCAAAATTATTCATACTGCTACATTTATTAGCACAGTTCCCAAATTTTCACAATTAAAAAAACAAAATAACAATTATTTCCCCCAATATAAAAATGACAAACACCAAGTACTCTATAATTTTTGTGCATGATGTAGCGTAATTAAACAAAAGTAAAAAACAAATCTAAACTAGCAAAGCCTAACTTTCCAAAGTATATTATTATTATTAACTACGGATAATTAAAAAACACCTCTTTCTTTTCTTCCATTCGGAAATCCATATAATGGGTCAAAAGTCGGATTATTCTTGTGATCTGGCTTAGTTTTTTCTGCCATAAAATTAGCTGAAAAAACTTGTCCCATCTTTACTAATAGTAACACTTCTGCTATACCAGACAAGTTGGTTAACTATACACCATGAGAGGGAGCTATGATTTCAAGACACATCTATCTATATATATATATATATTAGTTAGTTTTCATATCGTTATTTAACAAGCTCAACACACACCATCATTTTGGGTTTTTCGTTATTACTGCCGTTTTACAAATAGAATTTTTATTTTGTCATTACAACAAGAAATATGACTAATTTTCAACACAATACTAGAAACCCGATAATCCAACAGCTTTCAGAAGTTTAGGCTTTCCTTCTTTGGAAGTGAATTGAGAAATCAGTAGAAAGCATGGAAATCAAAACGGAATTTTGTGAGGTGAACAAGCACAGATCGGTTCTTTTATTTACGATGCGGAATAGGATAAAGCTTTTCCTAAGGATTTTTTTTCAACTGCACAATTATATTTTAACTTCATTTTAAATACATGACGCCTTAATGCACCTCATATATATATATATATATATATATATAGTA